AAAAAGAAAGTATTGTTTTTTTTTTTAAAGTTTTTTCTTTTTTTTTACTTCATTCCCTTCTTTGTTATTTTTATTCCCTCAGTTTTTTTAATTTTTTGGAAACTTCTGGGGTTTTTTTTTAAATTTCTTTTTTTTTTTTTAGGTAGCAAGAGGAGAATTTAAAAAAACCGGTAAATTAAAACTTCTTTTTTTAAAAAATTTTTTTAAAAATTTAATTTTTTTTTTTTTTTTTTTTTTTTTTTTTATGAATGGCCACTTTTTGAGGCGTGTTATTAAATATTTGGCCACTATTGTGAATGAAAGAGTTATGTAGCTAGTTTTTTTGCCTGTGAGACTTCACCATTTTAGCCAAGGATGTTGCTACATGTATGAAAAAGCTAACCAGACTCCTTTACTCAACTGCACTATCAAAATTACCCCCTTGTCTTTGTTTTCTAGAGCAGCCTGAACTGTTAGTAAGCTCATTTTCAGCTGTCTCTTAGCTACATCCCTGTATTTTGTTTAAACTACATGTACACTGATATGTTTTATCTTAAAGGATAAAAAGGAAAGGAAAAAGAAAAAAAAATCCAAGGATAAAGGAAAAAAGTCATCTAAATCAGCTGTCAACCAACAGAAATATGGAAAATATGGTATCCTTATGGAAAGCGACATGTTTAACAAACAACAAGAATTTTATTTGTGGCTTCAAGAAGTTAAGCAAACAAATCCAGAAACCCTTCCAAGATTTGAGATGAAAAAGATGTTTGATACCTTTGCAGAAGATTACAATACTGTCACTTTACCACATAAAAAGTATGGATTTATTTGTTGTACCAGTAATATAATACATGAAGTAATATTAGACAACAAAGTCAATGCTGTGTTCCGAAAGGCTTTGTTCACACTATAATGGATAGCTTTTGTACCAGCACAAAACGCTGTCAGCTATGGTATGAACAGCAATAGAGTTCTAAAGTGTGACATCATAAAAAATTAAATTTGTGAAATTATGGGATCTGGCTGGATATTCTGAAAGAACAACATCCAAGGGGTCTACTTTCAAAAAACTAGTATTGTAGGGCAGATTGTCTCTGAGATATTGGCCACTTCCTGTTCTTATGACTCCATACAAATCCTTCTAAATTGATAAAATTTGACTTGGGTGTAAAATGTTTAGACCCAAGTCAAATTTAGAAGGATTGGTGTGAAGTCATCAGAGCATTACTGGGCTAATATCTCATGGACAAATAATTATTTGTCCTACAATGCTAGTTTTGGCAAGAAGGTGTCTTGGACATTGTTCTTTCAGAATATCTTGACAAATCCCATGATTTTACAAATTTAATGTCTATGACGTTATCACTTTAGAACTCTATGACCCAGGCCTGAAAACGTCATTCACACACATTGAACGTTGTGCCCAAGTGGTTGGCCAAGAGGTTTTGGTGAACTAATTTCCAGTCCTCACTCCGGAATATTTACTTCCGTCTCAGTGGGTGCTAGTCCTCACGTTCCAAAGAGTTATTCACGCTACACCAAAGTATGGCACAAAACCTATCTGATATGTGCTGCTTTCGAGATCATCATGGTGCAGCTTCACTGCGTCACAAAGGTCGTGCGGAAATCACTATTCTTGTGTGTGAACAGAAGCGCTATAAGGTATGATTTTCAGGCCAATGCAAAAGCCATCCGGTGTTGTGTGAACAGAGCCTAAGAATAACAGAAGCGAGACAAGGGTCCGAAGCTGTAAATTTTTGAAATTCAGGGTGCCCAGAATTTGAATTGAGTTTTCTAGTTGCCTAAGTGCCAAAGTTACCAGCCCAGCCTTGACCGTGTTTATTTATAAAAGCAGTTTTTTTATAAGCCTAGAGGGCCATATGTTGACTGTTATTACTGCCTGCTGTAACTGTAATTTTCTGTGTATTTCTTACAGGTTTTATGACCTTGAAAAATGGGAAACTAAACAAAGAGAAAAAGGAAGGATGAAGGCCATCAAGAAAGCGCAAAAGCAACAAGTTTCCTTTGAGAATGATGAATTACAACACAAATCTCTACACTCAAGAACAGCTGGCGCAGGTAAGGAGAATTTTAAAAAAGAATCATGCCATAAATAAAAATTATGCTGCATGTAGTTTATGATATACAGTGGTGAACTATGGAATATCCTAATGTGTATTGGCAGAACTGCAAAATAATACTCAAAGGTCAATGCCCAACAGAACTTTTCCCATCTCTGATGAAATGCTACCTGAAAAACAATGACTAGAGATTTTGTACATGAAGATTTACATTGTATTCAGTCGGGATATGAAGTAATGATCTGAGTAAGATGGGAAGTATTTCGTTTGTTTTGGTACAATACGCTTTTGTCACATAGGAATGTTTTCACTTTCACTCAGAATGCATTAACCTAAAAAAAGGCAGTCTACGAAATAAAACATATTTAAACTCCGTTTTTAAAGGGTGTTTCTTTTGTGTTAAAAGATTTCAACCAATCATAAGACTTTCCAACATTAGCCAAGAAAAGTTTACAATTTTAATGTTCCTCACATAGGATTTCTGTGTTACTTAGACTCAGATGAGATTTTGTTATGAGGAAGTTGGTTTATAGAAAACAAGGGATTAATATACATGCTGCTTTGCAACTGAAATGGTAACCTGATCAGAAACAGGTCCTTCTAAAAAAAGAAACATTACAACATAGTTTCTAAATGCCTTAATGACACACTTTTACTTTCTTGGTTGATGTATATGCTAGCTTTTTAGCAGAGACGTATCAAGTGAAGCATAGAATACTCCATGGTGTAGTTTAAGGAATAACCTGTCTTGAAATAACCTGTATAGAACTTTACCTTAGAAAACAGTAAAAGGGCCTGCTACTTTAGCCAAAGCTAAATTTTAAAGGTTTTCTTTAGGTATGTTAATACCACGTGACTACATTGGTGTAAGAACCTGGATTTTAAGAACCTGTTAGGCTAAAGTTTGCCAGTAAAGCCCACTACTCTATATAAGGACTTGTTTAGCCTAAAATTTGAAACAGGTTCTTATTTTCTATAATCTATGAAGTCAACATTCAGAATCCTCTTCGGATAAATACTTGCTTTATCACTCCACTTGCAAGTTAAATGCCAATGTGGTCAATGAGATTAATGCTTTTAGTTCTTCTTTTTATGGTCACTTTTACATATTAAAATCTAATTTGGTATGCAGATGTTATATGAGGAATAAGCTGAACCACTAAAGACTTGATTAGCTATATTGTATTTTTTTTTTCTTCAGAAAAGAAGAACCTATTTTTAAAAATATTTTAATAAGAACCTAAATAGCCTAAACTTGAGATAACTACCATTTATATAAGAATCTGTTCAGGCTAACTTGGAAAAATCCAGGTTTTTAGTCAAGGGGTTTTTACTGTATTGTTATAGAGTACTTAAGTGTGACGTCATAAAAATGAAATTTCTGAAATTATGGGATTTGTCAGGATATTCTGAAAGAACAATGTCCAAGAGGCCTACTTGCCAAAAATGAGCATTTGGGGGCAAATTGTCTCTGAGATCGTAGCCCAGTTATGCTTACAAAACTCCATACAAACCCTTCTAATTTTTTTTGGGTCGACCCAAAAAAAAATTAGAAGGGTTTGTGTGGAGTTTTCTGAGTATAACTGGGCTTAGCCTGAGTATCAGGCGTTTCTGGGGAAAAGGGGAAAGATGGAAGGGAAAAAGGGAGAGAGCTGAAGGAGAGAAACGCCTGACACAGATGCTTTTACTGAAGCCTTCCACCCCTACACAGCATGATTCGATACCATCCAATCAAAATCACTTCCGGTCATTGGGTTGTCAGCTTCACGTGTCAAAAAGCTCGCCTGAAATAAATCTCACTCAACGGTTTGGCCGAGCTCCGGTGCTTGTGTTGCTACGATTTCGTTTTTTTTTTTAAACCTCCAATGATGAATTTTTGAATACTTGTAATGTAAAAAATTACAGGAATTATAACATGTCTTAAAAATTGTGTTAGTGTAAGATCGCCAACGCTCTCGTTCGTAAATAAACGTGCCCCAGAAAATTGTAAATTGCTTTTGTTTACAGAGTTACATCAGGCGCTTGTCTGGCAGCTAAAAAGCTGATGTTATCCCTCGTATCCTCGGGCGGTGGAAAGGAGCTGCAAGAATAAATAGGAAGGTGCGATGGTGGAACACCTATGCCTAGAAATTATCAAGCAGCAGCAAATTCCACCACTTCACGGAGAGCTCGTGAAAGCTGTTACAAGTTTTAAAAAAGTGAGAGCCTATAGCAAAGGTCAATCCCGTTGGCGAAATATGATGGCGCCCGCTTGAGCTTAAGACATTTCAAAAGTGAGAGAATTTTGGAAGAGGAAGCGAACGAATTCCAATCACGTACGCTATCGTAACCGCCACAAGCAAAGTCAAACTTTTTAAAAGCATTGGTGCTGTCGGCTATCTCAATACATGGCTACCTCGCTCTATTTTCAGTTACAGTAACAATCCCCTTTTAACGGCAGGATGTTGTAAATCAGAACTTAGATATCTGAAACACTGATATCGTCGTCTTTGTCCCGGTCTTTTGAAACCAATACTCAGACATAGTTTCGGCAGAAGCTGGTATATGAGGCTTTTCCATACTCCGAGTACATCTTTCCTTTAAACTACGAGGCCTTGAAAACACAATTCTTGCTCGGATTTTATTTTTATTCCAGGAAAGAACTTGAGAGCGCCCTCTAGAGCCGTTTTGAATTCCTCTCTGCGTCCCCTCTGTCCATAAAAGTATCACATACCGGTAACATGAAATCAAAACATCTATGAAAAATGTCAATTGCTTCTTGCCGATCGCTCTTGCGGTCAGTGACGTCAGGGGGTATTGTGTGTTATCCAATCACTGCCACATCCAGATTTTGGATGTGTCACACGGTTTGCTGAATGGTTTTGTGTCAGGCCTTCCTTTCTCTTCTCCCCCTCCCCCTCTCCCATCTAAAATCTCCTCTCCCCTAGCCCCTTAGGAAGGCCTGATACTCAGGCTAAACTGGGCTACGATCTCAGAGACAATTTGCCGAGAAATGCTCATTTTTGGCAAGTAGGCCTCTTGGCCATTGTTCTTTCAGAATATCCTGACAAATCCCATAATTTCAGAAATTTCATTTTTATGATGTCATCACTTTAGTACTCTATAACAGTATGAGTTTAAATTCTTTTTCCGTAGGCTTTACATATTTTTCAGTTTAATTACATTACAAAAGTTCCAGAAAAATTACATTAGTCAATGTTAAAGTTGAGATTCTGGTCTGAAATGTTGAGCATGAACCTATATGAGTTGTTTTTTAGCCTTTTACCTGACAAGAAGTACCGTAACTTAAAAACAATGACAAATAATTTCATGCAGCAGGTTTCTCACATTAATTAGCGGCTGCATTTCCTGTGGTGTAGAATAATAATATTCAATCTATATTTTAAGACTACAGTTATACAGTGTAGTTGCATATTAATTTTTATAATAAACTATCTCAAACTTTGAGGAAAGGATCAAGGTAAAGAGCTTTTGTTCCTTATAATTTTCCTACAGGGATGAGCAGAGACGATTTGCTTGAAATGCAAAGAGTTATGAGAGAAAGACAACAGGAGGATTACAAGAAAAAAGCTGGCTGGAAAGTGGATGAAACGAAGGGTGTACGATATCAGACAATCCTGCCCTGACCAACCAGGCTGCTGAGTTTAAAACAGAGTATTTGATTGAAATAAGTTTCACCGTGTATTATTATTATTATTATCATAATTATTATTATTATTATTACTAATTAATATTAATTAATATTATTATTGTTATAATAAAAGCTTGTAAATACACTGACTTTTTATAGGGAATTTTTGGATAGGGGTTACAAATCCATTGCCCTTGGATATTTGCCTGACCATTGTGTGAAAAAAAGCATTCACACTTGGCACTAGACTACGAGTAGTCCCCCATTTTTCCTCAAGGATAGTAGGGCGAGCGAAACGCGAGCGCGCGTGAAAATCACCCCACGCGAGAAAAGGCGACACGCCGCGTGTCGCCTTTTCTCGCGTGGGGTGATTTTCACGCGCGCTCGCGTTTCGCTCGCCCTACTATCCTTGAGGAAAAATGGGGGACTACTCGTAGTCTAGTGCCAAGTGTGAATGCTTTTTTTTGGAAAAAGGGTTTGAGATTTGGAGCTTCTGCTGCTATCACAAAAGCTTCATGTGAAACACATCTTAATAACTCACCTTTTTGTCACAAACAACCAGAACTAACATAGAGAAAGGTTATACTGTGATGATGTAACAGCATGCAGTGGATCCAAAAAACCCATCTAATGGAAAGGTGAATGACTAGTGGGGTGGGGGTTGGTGCAGGGGTTGTTAGACCTGTTTCTAAACTTCATTTTGCTGATGAAGCTTTAGGAATAGAAGCAAAAGCTCTGATACTAAAACTTTTTTTTGTTTGTTTTGTTTTGTAAAAAAATGTAGTTCAACATGTTACGTAATTTGTACATTATGAAATATCAACTGGTCCCAGTTATTCAAAAGTGGATGGTTCTATCCAGCCTGTAGTAGTCAATTGATAAAAATCGGTATTGATTTGCTGAATTCATTATGCAACCAGCAAGTTTATTGACAATTGACTTCCAATTGAGAGTCGAAGGATCAAACATTTATCACTGTATTGTTTATCAAACATTTATCACTTTTAAATAAATCCTTAAAATATCTTAATATCTTTTCTTTAAAACCATGTTTAAAATCTTCTTCTGATGGCTGACATTAGCCAGGTTTGCAGGCGCTCAGGTTTTCAGGATTTAGATCTCCCACCCTTTCAAAATAACGTCAGTGTAGTTCGGGGTGTAGTTGCACCCAGAGATAAGAAAAGAAACAAAATCAATAAAAATCATTAGCATCGAAATGATTTTTATTGATTGATAACAGAAAACGGTGAAATCTATTGAGGGATTAGCCTGAATCCTGATTTGAAGGAATGTCTGAAATTTAGGCTAGGGAATCTTTATCTAAGGTTGTATTTCTTGTGAGACTTTCCTGCAAGAACTGAATGTAACTGAACCGTTTTTGTTGTCATGTACAAAATAAAGGGTTTTAGAGAGAACGTTGCGTGTGTAATAGTTACCATATTTCTTGTTTTGTTTACTGATCAGTTGTTACTGGTGGATGTGTTTTCTCAGCTGTACTACTAAACTCATGCCAAAAGAACAACAATGGCAGACTTCTGTTACAAATCGATAATATCGATTTGACGCAGCAATTTAGTTTATCAATTTTCACCGATTTCTGTTATCAATCGATAAACATCACTTGATTGCTACTGATTTTTATCGATTGACTACTCCGGGCATCCAGTGATTTACAGCTGTATGTAGTGGATAGAACTATCTGGCTTTTGTACAACACGGGACCTGAAGATTCAGGAGATGTTTTTAAAAGGACTTTTTCATTATTATTTTTGTTGCAAGACATTTCCATGGCATACTCAGCTGTAATTGAAACAAAAAACAACAAGTGCATGACAACATGCTTCAAGAGGAATGTTTGATAAAATGCTCCAGTGCTCTTTTTAATAATATTGCTGTAGGTTTAAGGTCATTACTACACACTGTATTTCAAGAATTGCCAGGTCTACTTTGAAAAGAGTGTGAACTAAGAGTAGAAAAAAATTTTGTTTCAATTCTTGTTTTAAAATGTAAAAAATACAACAATAAATAATGAATTTTTAAAAATACATCTAAGTTATACAACTGTATTTAAAAAAGGACATAAATACCTTCATCTTACAGACAGTGTAAGTATAGGAATGTTGTCCATGTAAATTTTCTTTGTGTCAACATTTTGTATTTTAATCACACTACACAGTTGTTCCCATGGACAGTGAAAAATCAAGCATTTGAAGTCATAAAAATTCAAGATGGTGGCACATGGGAAATTTAAATGTCAAAATGGGAAATATTCATTTTCATGGGTCAAAAACAACTTTAACACAGTTTGCAAGAAAATTAGAAGTTTCTTGTAATATTTCACCACTCATTACTGCTTAATTTTGCTGTCTTGTCTGCCCTGTGTTAAGAGTTCCGTTTTTAATTATGGTTTTTGATAACCTTGCCACTGACTTTATATTTCATCGACAACAGACTTGTGTATTTTGTTTAAGTGATAAGTTGCAAATAAAGACTTACATTTGCCATTACTTTTCACTTGTGGTGTCTCCTGCTGTGGTGTACAAAAAATGGATTTATGCTTATCAAGTTGTCTTTGCATGGGTATTTCCAGCAAATCATCCTTATTTCTTTTATCCACACAATTCTCTGGTAGCAAGACTATACCTTGGTCATAGCTATTATTCCACAAACCATGGGATTGCTGGTCATCACTTTGGAAATTCAGCCTTTCATTTTGAAATATTTTTGACAGCAATTCATCTGTTAATGGCTGACAGCTCTGTTCAGAATGCCCATGTTGGCTTTGAGTGTCATAACTGTTGGTCCTAACTTGATCATGCCTACAGGGAAGGAAATTGTTGTTGCAAACAAGACAAGGATGTTGAGACTTTCCTCTCTCTTGATGCAATAATGAAAGATTTTCTACAGTTCTCTTCAAATCCCCAAGTTGCACTGATCTTCTCCTTTTGACAGCAGGGTACTGTTCTTTGTGTTCTTTAGAATCAACCAGCTCAAGGCTCCTTCTTTTGCAGGCTCTTCTTGGAACACTATAACCCTCAGTGTCCGTGAATGCTGGTTTAAGGTTTTTGTGTTTTCTACCAGATGGTGAAATGTAGTGCTTTACCAACACAACCTTTGCATTACCTTCTCCTGCTGGATACAGTACTATTGACTTCTTCGACAACACAGCCTCCTGAGCAGCAGTTCTTGAAGGTTCCATTGTTTATGTTATTAACAGTTGTATAACTGAATCATTAGAATTTTTTTCTTCTGTTTTCACTGAAAAAGACAATAACAAAGGATTTATATATTTCAACACATTTTGAATTTTGTTTACTTGTTTTAATTGTCTCAAAGTATATTTATTTATTCATTTATTAAAAATAACAAGTATTCAACCAGTCAAATTACACCACTGTCAATCATTTAGCATAGTTTTGGTAGTGACAATAACAAACGTTATTTTCCATACTGCTTTAGATTTCCATGGGGGTGATCAACATTCCACTACAGTAGCCTGTGGATGAGCCTTTCCTTGCTATTTTTTCCCCAAAGAGAGAATCTGTTCACAGGCTACCACTACAGTATTAGTACTGTATAAGCTATCAGGTTTTTCCCAAGGGGTATGTTTTTGTTTTGTTGTTGTTTTTTTTATGCCATTTCAATCAGCAAATGGGTATGAAACACCACTAAATCAAGTCCTGAATCCCACTAAGGGTACTTTCACATAATTGGACTACAGAGGTATGTATTGTGATGTGTTGTCTGGTAGAGGTTGTACAAATCGGAGGGTGTTGGTAGCCTAGGATGGGTTGTTTATGGGAAAGTGATTGGTAATAAATGAGAGTTTCTGGATCACAGTCCAGAATTTGGTAGGAATTTGGGGGGAAGGGGTGGCATGGGACTGTTTTGTATTGAGCAGAATAGGCACGGTGCAAAGAAAATCATTTTTACAGCTTGCCATTCAGGCAAGCTGAAGCTAACATTTACTAGGCCAGATGTCATTTCAACCAGCCCCAAAAACTTTTTGACTAGCAGAATTGATTTCACAGTTCTTGATGTTATTCGAATTCTTCAAAAGACATCACTAGCCCGATAGGAAAATCCACTAGCCCTGGGCTATTGGACACTACTTTCTTTGCACGCTGAATAGGGTCNATGGGTATGAAACACCACTAAATCAAGTCCTGAATCCCACTAAGGGTACTTTCACATAATTGGACTACAGAGGTATGTATTGTGATGTGTTGTCTGGTAGAGGTTGTACAAATCGGAGGGTGTTGGTAGCCTAGGATGGGTTGTTTATGGGAAAGTGATTGGTAATAAATGAGAGTTTCTGGATCACAGTCCAGAATTTGGTAGGAATTTGGGGGGAAGGGGTGGCATGGGACTGTTTTGTATTGAGCAGAATAGGCACGGTGCAAAGAAAATCATTTTTACAGCTTGCCATTCAGGCAAGCTGAAGCTAACATTTACTAGGCCAGATGTCATTTCAACCAGCCCCAAAAACTTTTTGACTAGCAGAATTGATTTCACAGTTCTTGATGTTATTCGAATTCTTCAAAAGACATCACTAGCCCGATAGGAAAATCCACTAGCCCTGGGCTATTGGACACTACTTTCTTTGCACGCTGAATAGGGTCACAAAGTTGTGTGTTAACATTGTACGGTATAGGTTAAGGGTTTCAAGGGAACCCCCCTGCCTGTGTGGGAGGCTACCTCAACCCAGACATTGATACAGTACCCCCGGTCCTTGTCAGGCCTAAAGCACCCTTCCCAATGCAAATGGAAGGCACGGCAATGCGCACGAATGCTAGTGCTTTTTGTTCAAATCTAGGTACAATTCTCTGGAAGGCACACTCTAAATGCCCAAATTTTTCTCTTTTACAAAAGGAGCCAACTCGAACCTTAGCCCAATAAACAATTTCAATCGCACCCACACCCGCACCTGAAAATTTAATTAGAATCCCAGCTTCAAATATGGCGGTGTGGCAAATATAGACTGTAGACTTGCAAACTGGCAAGTTAAGGACGTAGACGAGGTGAAAAATGTTGTGAAATGCTCTTAAAACTATCCCTATCCCACAATTTAAGTATTCTTCAAGTATTGATACAGTTTTCATGAGTTTTGAGAGCATCTCCTTCCAATTGTCTACTTGCCAGTCTGCATTTCAGATTTGTTACTCGCTGGGCCACCGGAAATTGCAAACTAGTGCAGTCAAAACTTGCATTTTTTGGTACTTACCAAAAGAACACAAACTATACCACGATACTTCCACTTCGAGATCGTGCAAAGATAAAATAAAAGGAGTAGTTAGAGCGGTTTTCACTTGACTGTCGAATTGGGATTGGTTTTGGTTTTGGTTTTGGTCTTACTACGTCCTTTGGTTGGCTAGTGTATTTACTTTGGTTTTGGTTTTACGACAGTCAAGTGAAAACCGCTCTAATCAGTAGTGATACAAAGATGAAATTTCGCGCCCAAATCAATCAGCTCCAGGACGCATTTGCTTGACGCGGCCTGGGAAAGCTGGGACTAGTAAAGTCGAAACAAAAATAATGGCCGAAAGGAAACTTGCCTCACAGACTCTTCAAAGATTTAGTGAACTAGAGGAACTTGCAGAAGAAATTATGGAAGACAAACATCAGGTGAAGCATATTCTGTGACTTAGAGTCAAGTCGTTATCGCCATGTATGCAATCTGTCTCTTGCAACCTCGTCCCCATGAGGCTATATAGGGCGCTNAGAGCGGTTTTCACTTGACTGTCGAATTGGGATTGGTTTTGGTTTTGGTTTTGGTCTTACTACGTCCTTTGGTTGGCTAGTGTATTTACTTTGGTTTTGGTTTTACGACAGTCAAGTGAAAACCGCTCTAATCAGTAGTGATACAAAGATGAAATTTCGCGCCCAAATCAATCAGCTCCAGGACGCATTTGCTTGACGCGGCCTGGGAAAGCTGGGACTAGTAAAGTCGAAACAAAAATAATGGCCGAAAGGAAACTTGCCTCACAGACTCTTCAAAGATTTAGTGAACTAGAGGAACTTGCAGAAGAAATTATGGAAGACAAACATCAGGTGAAGCATATTCTGTGACTTAGAGTCAAGTCGTTATCGCCATGTATGCAATCTGTCTCTTGCAACCTCGTCCCCATGAGGCTATATAGGGCGCTTTTCCCTTCGTTTTTGGGCTGATAAGTAAAACCTGCATGATAAATATACACTAATAGGCGAGGTAAGTTGACTTTTACTTGCTACGGAAAAAAAAAACGTTCAAAAGTATGGCCGCAGTTCCGCGCACCTCTTCAGAAATTGCAGTTTTTGCTTTACCCCCTCACAGACAAAGAGACTCTGTTTTAATACCAGCCCTGAGAAATACATGATGTGTTTATGTGATTTTATCTAGCACGCCAGAGCAGATAACTTTTGAGTCTTTGTTTTAAAAGCCTTAAAAGCGTTTGCTCTCACAGGCCAGCTTTTTTCTAATCTGGCCTTCTTTGAACACCCCTGGCCTGGTGAATAAAGCCATCCTTAGAGGGGGATGGGACAGGAAAGGGAGGCGTAGAGGGGCAATCATCATTAACCCCTTTAATTCCACATGAAAATTTAACTGCAAAGCCTTGTCATATTTCCAGCTAACATCACAGATCTTTCTACTTTTGTTCTCTGTAAATATTTTTGTTAGATTGTTGAGCTTGACAAGAAAAGAAATGCAAACCGAGAAGCTATGAGAGCACTCAAAAAAGGAGATACAAAATCTGGTACAGTAAAGGAGTTCAATTTTGTTCCTCTTCAATCACCGTTTTTGTTTCTTCTGTCTATAACCTTCTATGTCTGAGTTAGACACAGGGACTATCCCTGCTGAGTGGGTGCATGAGGCTTTGCGGTGATGTGGTTTAGCTCATTTTTTGGTGCCGTTTTGCAGAAATTTTAATTTTAAGTTTTAAGAAACCAAGCAGTTTGTGGTTTTTAGAAGTTTTTGGGTAATTTCAATGCGGTTTGGACTTTTATTATGTTTTTCTGTGCGGTTTTTACAGTCTTCTCCCTTAATTTTAGTTCAGCAGGTAAGGGACTGTTCATAGCCGGTAAAACAAAAAAATAGTAATAATATTATTATTTTTTTGCACCAGAGATGCACTTTCCTAGGAGTAGGGGGGTAGTGGAGTGCGGGAAATGGCTCTGCCCTTGCTGGGAAATTTAAGAGCTAAGTTCTCTGAAACGTCATTCTCTCATTTTAAGACCTTTTTTACACAAATTAGCCATTGTTACCTTTTCACAACAATAATATTATTTAAAAGGATCGATTCTAATAATTTTACTCTGTCTTCAATGTTCCCTTTCCAAAATGTGTGGCCCGTAAAAAGAAAAGCTGTGTACACGTACAGCTCAACCTGCAACTATTATTATTATGAAGATCACTGGCTGCACGCAAAAGTTCAGAATGTATTAAGGCATTTTTTAATGATCAGACAGACCAAAAACATTATCCCCCAAATGTTAAATAATAGTTTATTTGTAAAGCAAATTTATTATCTTTTTTAGCCATCAAGTCTTGGGTATGTTTTGGAAACACCTTTATGAAGCTTCCCAGCTCCAATGTACAAGAAATGTTACAGAAAGGTTAGTGTGCATAATAAAAATATATGCTACCTACACCTCATCTCTCCCTAAAAGCAACAGTATTGCTGCAAAATTTGTTAAAAAAGCACTTTAAATACCTTTCTTTTTTGGTTAGATCAAAAGAACTTAGAAGAGGAAATTTCCAAGCTTCGGAAAGACCTAAAGCCTAAAGTCTCCAAACTCCATGAACTAGAAGGTTGGTTGCCAGTCTTATATGTTTCTATTTTTTTCTCTGTGAATGCTTTTAAAGAGATACATGGGGAAGCAGGGTGGGTAGTCAGGGAAGATACATGTGTGTGATGACCACAGGATACCCACTTAAAAACCAAACACTTGACACTATGTTTAAAAAATTAGTACAACCAATGAGTACCTTTTTGACACATTTCTGAAATTGGCAACAAAATTAATGAGACGTTGTCCTCAAGTGGGGTACATTATGTGTATGTTTGGAAAATAAAACAATCCACACCCCTCCCCTCTGTCTGTCCATTCAGAGTTGGGTGTCTCTTGTTTTCTACAGGTAGCTCGAACAGCGCCACAACACTGCATGGAGGGGTTGGGGGAGGGAAAGCCTTATTTTCCCTTTTTATGTTGGCAAAATCTTAGAGAGGCCCTTTAGGAAAAATGCCGCAACTAATTTTGTCACCATTGTGTGTTGTGGGGTACTTTTGTTAGAATTTACTTACCTGTGGGTTAATTTACACAGGAAGCAACTGAAGAGTTAAAAGTTTAATGATGAAGATAGAATGGAAACCACTATAACCATAAACAAAAAAACTACACCACTCAGATTTGCCAGCTGTTTCTAAATCCTTTATGATCTCAGCTGTCTGTCTTTAAAAACCAATCAAAATGGGTGTACACTTTTGTATTCAGTACATTGAAATAGATTCTATTTTACCTTAATTGTCTGGTCAGTCATAGATTGTAGATGATGTCAAAATGTGGTCAATACAAAAAGAGTGGGTATACTGCCCTGGGGGACCCCCATATGAAAGAAACGGGGGTGCTTGCTGAAAAACTAGAATTAAACGCCTAAAGGAGACGAATCGGGGTGTAACTTGGGCTTTATTTGGCTCCCAAAGGAGACCATACTCCAACAGAGTATGATGTAAAGATATTTCTTTATGCACAACACTGGGTGATACCTGTATGGATAAAAATAATGGCTTTCTGTCAAGAAAACCTTCATTGTAAATTGTAATGTAAATTGTAAATATCATATTATTCCCCTCAGAGCTTTTATGGATAATTTAAAGATTGGTTGGGGTAATTTTATTTAACCAGACTGCTTATGGCGCAGTTTACAATATTATTGATTAAGTGATGATTTGTGAATGCCCATCATCAGGGGCACCCAACGTCAAGTTTCGGAAAATATATGTTCGGAAGACGATTTGAGATCTAGAATTTTCGGAACATTTTTTGTAAAATTTCTTGCTTGCCTGCTTCTCCTAGGATTTTCGAACATCAAAAAATATGGTATAATTGGCCATTTTTAACGGATTTTTACCCTAAAAAGGTCACCTAGAATTTCCGGGAGCCTTTTTTCTGGCGGAAGTTTTCGAAAAGGTAAGTTTTGATCCCTAAAATTTTCGGATCACTAGACTTTCAGCTAGGAAATCTGAACCGATGGAAAATTTTTAGGGGATAAAAATATGCCTATATCTACCGTTTAAATACTAAAATACGTTTAACAATGCTATGTTTAAGTGGTTTTGAACTATATTCTCGTTGGGTGCCCCGTCCACAGAGTTTCTACCCCTAAGCGAGATACCGAACAGGGGCATCCAACGAGGGTATAGTTCAAAACCACTTAACATATCATTGTTGAACGTATTTTAGTATTCAGACAGTAGATATAGGCATATTTTTATCCCCTAAAGACTTTTCATCTGTTCGGATTTCCTAGCTGAAAATCTAGTGATCCGAAAATTATAGGGATAAAAACTTAACTTCTCGAAAATTTCAGCCAGGAAAAGGCTCCCGAAAATTCTAGGTGGCCTTTTTTAGGGTCAAAATCCATTAAAAATGAGTAATTATACCATTTTGTAGATGTTCGAAAACCCTAGGAGAGGCAGGCAAGCAAAGCTAAGCAAGAAATTTTACAACAAATGCTCCGAAAATTCTAGATCTCAAATCGTCTTCCGAACAGATATTTTCCCGAAAATTGCCGTTGGGTGCCCCTGACCGAACACTTCCATCATTTTCATATAAGAGTTAATTCAGGGACTTACTGATGTCCTAATAGTACACCGTTTTCAGGTAATCACCAATCAAAGTGCATAAGACTGTATAAAGTGTTTTGAATGGTTTCCTTATAGGGTTGCCTGAAGTGAAAGGATTTGACTTAACTGCATTAACAGAAGATGACCTATCGAATCTAAAGCCTTGACGATGTTGTTCTCAGTAAACAGCTGTGATGTACAGCTGCAGCGATGCTGAGCATGACACAAATGTGTAAGCTAGTCGAGCTGATAACAAAACCCAGATGAAAAAAAGCCAATAATGCACAGGAGTGCAGTGATCGTGGGGTACTTCAGCGAGGGGTGGTACAAAGAGGCTCCGCCCGAAAGAAGAAAAGGTAGGCTACGGGTAGTTCCCCATTTTTCCTCAGGGATAGTAGAACGAGCGAAACGCGAGCGCGCGTGAAAATCACCCTACGCGAGAAAAGGCGACACGCGTGTCGCCTTTTCTCGCGCGGGGTGATTTTCACGCCCGCTCGAGTTTCGCTCGTTCTACTATTCCTAAGGAAAAATGGGGGACTACTCGTAGTCTAAAGAAAAGGAAGATCGATGTATAAAATGAAATAGAAGTTGAAACATGGAGTTAACTATTACCAACTGAGGAATGCGCAACGTTGGTATTACTTTAAACACATCAGTTGAACTTTGTTTTAGCTCGTTTGTTGGTTACTAAGACGTGTTATTCACGTTTTTTCTGACGACTTTTCTCTCTATTAAAAGTGCACGTGTTAAAACCGTGTTGTAAAAATTGAAAATTGTCATAAGAGCACCTTGTACACTGAGTTCCGTGATCCAGCAGCTGGTAGCCTGAGTATCAGGCGTTTCTGGGGAAAAGGGGGAAGATGGAAGCGAAAAAGGGAGAGAGCTGAAGGAGAGAAAACTTCCTTTCTCCTCTCCCCCTCCCCCCCCCCCTCATCCAAAATCTCCTCTCCCCTAGCCCCTTAGGAAGGCCTGATACTCGGGCTAAGCAGCTGATGACCCGTGGAATCTAATTCCAAGACGTTTTATATTTTAGTTTACATTCATAGACTGAAGGAGAATAAACTATAATCTGTATGTATAAAGCCTTGGTTTTATAAACTAAGTTGATAACGCAAATTGTTCTACCTTGCGGGAATTATGAAGCACACTGACGTCAGCTGCGACGTATAGATGAAAGTATAAACTAGTAAGCCAGGACTCATTTCAGTGCAAACAAACTGGCAGTGGCATGCCAAAAAGCGTAAGAAGACGTGTAAACCAGACATGCGGAGAAAAGCAAATGTTAATGCTAATGCTTAGCTTCGCTATTTTTGTGATTTATAGAAAATAGAAGTTAGTTTGCACGGACAGCAGAATCAAATGATCAAACAACATGACCGGTCATCAAAGGAATTTCCTGGACATTATTCATTTTTGACCGCACACATTGTCTGTTGATCGGCCCTGATTGATAAAATTTAGCCTGCGTGGCAGGCGTTTGAAAGGGAAGGGAAAGGGAGTTTTATTTTTGTTATTTTTTTAATTAGTAGGCGGGATGGCGAAAACAATGGCTTCCTCGTGGGCGTTCCCCTCCTCCCTCCTCCGTCGCGCGTGGTCTCGCGCCCTAATTCCCTTCCCCTCGCGCCGTAATTCCCTTCCCCTTCCCTTTCGAACGCCTGCCACGCAGGCTAGATAAAATTAAAAATTCTTGACAGTGCTTGGAGACGACGGCTGTACACAGGCCATTGAAATAAATACAACTTTACAGCATGAAGCCATCTGAGGGGGCCATACTTCTTTGTCCCCTTAGTCTTCTCAATTTATGGAAAAAACAGCAACAGTTCAAGACTGATCTCGCAAACATTTATAAAATGTAAACAAAAGTATCTCCCATTTAAAAAAAGATTACATTACACCTGCGAAATCTGTTTTCTTCAATTCAGATCTGCTAATCATGTTATCAATGTCGTGAATAAATTGATACCACATTATTCTCGCAGCGTTCTTCTAGTTTCTTGTCCTTTTCCTGTAAGAGAACCAGCTCCGACCAAGAGAGAATAATCTCTTAGATTATTGTTGGTTGTTAACGAGACACTTGCAAAAAGTGATTGGCATGGGGTGGATTTCCACTGTGGCTTATTTTTTACGTGCGTAGTGCGACAACGCGCATAAAATCTACGTCTGCAAGACGTAATAAATCGAAAAGATGTATGTGAAAGGTCGCACGTGAACGTAAAAGTTGAACCTCCCCCAACTTTTACGTTTAGGCGCGACCTTTTTTACATGCTACGACCCCACGTACGGCACGTAGAGAAGAAATTTATGCTCTCCCCGCGTGACAAGTAGTTGTACCCTCGCCCCAGCTTTCTCGAGCAGCTATTTCAGGCGATCGAAGCGGAAAGTGACACTGGACTGGAGAATGCAAGCAAAAGTCCAGAATTTGAAAGGGTAAGGTATATTTTGGCGCTTAAATTATGGGAAATGTGAGTTCTTTACCATTTATTTCTTTCATTTGTTTAACTGTTGGATTTTTTAGAAATTTAAATCGAATGGTTTTTCTGCCCTTTGTCTTCGCTCAGTGAGCACCTCAAATTCATAATTGGCGATTGACAAATCGAGGTTTTCTGCCTTCCGGTGGTCTTCGATCTGAATCAAGCCCTGCGTATTTAAGATAAGTACTCGCTTTTTTAATTATATACACACATTTTAGCTGGATAGCACCGTCAGAAGAACTATGATCATTCGGTTCAATCCGATTTCAAACGATGGCACGCCGACACGGTACATGTTTTTATCCATGGCGGTGAAATTTTACCCTTCTTAACCATTAAATTTTAACTTGCGTTATGAAAATCAATCCAACATTATCTCGTGATGCAGTGTATCCCCAAAAAAGATTCCTATGGCGTACCGCAAAAAAAATTGTCATGATCATAAAACTTGTATTTGAGTCAAAGTTTGATGGTCGTTAGTTGTTGTCAGATTTCTATTTTGACAGTGTTTTCTTTGCGTTGACCCTTATTTCAGTTTTGTTTTGTCTTCGAGTTGTTTGCCTCTAGGCTTTTTCACATTTTTAGAAACATAATCGTCTAATGACATTTTTCACCAGGTAAAAATTCCATAGATTAGCCTTGTAAAGAAATGATATATATAGTCGACATATTTTCGAACATTGCAAAGACCTAAAACAATCCTTTTGACATAAAGAACCTGACCAAGATCTGATTTCAGAGCATTAAGCCACGCGTGCTTTTATCTATTGAGGGCTTTTGAGGGCATGTTTTATTTTCCCGGTTTTTATTATTTCTTGTTCTAATCATACACTTGCCTTTCAAGATGATATACTAAAGCAATCCATATGGGTCCAGTGCATATTGCTCGCATTAAAATTCCTGCTTGTTATTTTTCGCGACATGAAATGGTATTATCCTATTTATTGCTTATTGAGTGATGACGTGAGTTATAAATTACAGTTCTCCCCCTTTCTCTGTGTTACTTGCATGCGTTTTCGATTTGTTTCGTCTCTTTTAGGTCAAGTAATACGGGCAACGTTTTACTTCATCCTGTTGAGCGACATTTGTTAGAAACCAGTGTTGCTCGTTTCATCACACGTGCAAGCAATCGAGCAATTGCAGTGTAGACGGTTTTTTCTGCAAGAAGTTGTTGCCTCAAAATTGTTGCGCTACAACTTGCGCGTGCAGGTGAAATGAGAAAAAAAATCGCTATGTATCTCGTAAAACAACGTAGCGCGAAAAGTTTTAATCATGAACAATCTCTTTCCAGGCTTCTAAATCTTGTGTACCCGATGTAAAGTAGAACAAAAGCCCAGTAGACAAAAGAAAATTCGTTATATACTTGGGCAAAGCTTGGGTAAAATCTGACCGTGAAATCGCAATTCCGCCTACCCGGAATATTCGTAAAATTTGCTTGTGGACTCGCTTATTCGTCCAAAAATACTCGTCAGGCGCCTTATTGTGCTTGAATTATGCACGGTTCGTGAAAAAAAAAAATCGTTTGTTTTGGCATTCATTGCATTAGAATATCTAGAACAGTTCCAGAGGTCTGCTTGAAATAAATATTCTAATGAATTTCGAGTTACGATGGTTCAAATATCACGGTAGAAGAGAATTGTAACGCAACTTTTGGGTAATCTTTTTCCGGAATTAACGATAATCGAACGCACCCTAGTACCGTAATCGCATTTAATAATTGTAATAGGATTGAGTGGAGTCCAACTCGGATGTAGTCTTACGTATACGAAAAAATACACGCGGTTGTTACGCTGTGGTCAGATTTGTTTATCACAAGTATGATGAATGCTGAAACCACTGAGGATTATTGATAGTCAGCAGAGGTATTTTTCTACTTGGTTGTAGTTACCAGATTTTCTTACAACCGTTATGTATATCTCAGGGGCACCCAACGACGGTTTCCTCCTAAATGCATTTGAAAACACTTTTTAGGCTATCCAGAGTAATTTTAGATCTCTAGAAATGCATTCTAAGCGCTGCTATAAATTTGTATCTGTTCGGTCGTCCTAGGGCAACTTTAGTCTTTTCGAAATTACAAGGGCTTCGGTATTATTTTCCCGAAAATTTTAGATGAAGTTGAAATTGGAATTTTTCCTCATTCTTCTCTCCGTCTCACTTTCGAATCCGAAAGTTGTAGGTTTCCTTTTCCTACGAAAAATAGCCTAACTTGGGGACTAACATGCGAAATTAAACCTTTAGAAAATCGTAGGGAATTTATTAGATATGCTACGAAAATTGTACATAAATGGAACGGTCATCAACAAATTTTTAGCCTTTTCAAGCTATAGAAAATGTTAAGAAATTTTTTCCCCTTTTTTTTTCGCGGGTCTCCGCGTCTGCCATCTGTAGCGGCGCGTACAAGCAATGAAAGGCCGATACTTTCGCATTCTCCAACAGGCTGCTAATTTCAAGTCAAGAATAGAACGAGGTTGCGCGAAAAACAGTAGTGTGTATTGATTGTACATTTATTCTTTTCTGATCTCAGGTTTTTTGGTTTATAATTTTTTTGAGTTATTCCCTTTTTTCAGCCGTGAGCTAAATCGTCCTGAAAGAAGCTTGAAAGACCTCAAATGTAGCGGTGCTTGTAAGAGAGACCTATAGATTGGCTCGTGAAAGTCGTAAAAGTGTGTTGCACTACAGCTCAGAAACAGTAATATTTGTAGAGATTTAAAAACTTTAAAACTCCATACGATACCCAGGTTCGACTCCCGTCGCTGCTGATAGGGAAATGCGCCCTCATCAGAGGAACGAAGTTCGCAAAATTGAGCTAAAATTGTTTAAAATCGAGCGGCTGCACTTGATGAGCCAATGAAAACTGAGACTTGAGTCTCGACCAAAGGCCTCGGAACCTTTTACTAATACGGGGGTGCTAATGGGGGTACCCAATTCTCAGTTAACTACTAATTTTGTGGCCAAATATCGGTTAATTACTGTTATTTTTTGGCCAATTATCAGCAAACTGTTAACCCCATTAGTACCCTCTTATAGGTGCTTTGGATACAACGGACACCAAAGATCTACAATTTGTAGTATACCAGGATATGTCATGGAAAGAGATGGTACTCCAGTGTTTTTCGAAACTATCTCTTTCTGGGGAAATTTTTACGGGGAAGGGGGGTTCTAGCCAGCCGAAGCTTCATTTATACTGGGAGGCTCTGCAGAAAAAAAAAAGATAAACAACCCAACTGTGGGTCCAGATTATTTTGTTCTCCAAAAACCTCCTAGCTCTCAAAAGTGTCTCAACAATTTTGTCGACGATTGTTGATTCTTCAAAATAAATGGTACCAGAAAATTGTTTAGGACAGGTTTTGATGATGGAAGTACTCGTTATCAAGTTTAATTATACTAGCTAATTTTATCAACAAATTATTTTTCCTTTTCAGTTTGTCTCTATTTTGTTTCTTACAGGCGTTCCTAATTCCCTTTCTGTCAAGTTTAAATAAGAGATAACAGCATTCTTGGTAAGGAAAATATAACACCACATGGCAGCGTGGTTGGACGGACGGAAAGTTTGCGTCGCTCTTCCTCTCGCAGGGCTGCTGTCTTTTTGCCTTTACAGTATGATGTTAACTGAGCCAAAAAGGCGGATTAAACAGATACACTACGCCGCCCAAGATGACGAGAATTTGTTTGACTTGGACAATGATGTAAACAATTCCTTCAACGAATTTAAGCCACCTACTCACTTACGGTACTCCTCTGCTGGAAAAAATGCAACAGAAAGTAGCATGAGTGACAAACTTGAACGAAGGCCTCGAAAGCGTCTCCCAAATGCAATTATTATTGGTGTCAGGAAAGGAGGGACTAGAGCACTTTTGGAATTTTTAAAACTGCACCCTAAGATTAAAGCGTGTTCAACAGAGGCTCACTTTTTTGACGTTGAGGAGAATTATCAGTTCGGGCTTGACTGGTATAGGCAAAAAATGCCTAAATCTTTGCCAGGGGATATAACCATCGAGAAAACGCCAGCTTATTTTGTGACTGATAAAGTGCCTGAGCGAGTGCGGCAAATGTCAACGAATGTCAAGCTTATTGTCACCCTTCGCGACCCAACAGAAAGGGCGATTTCAGATTATGTCCAAATTTCTACGAAGAAGCGTAAAAGGTCACAGTCGTTTGAGGAATTCATTACTCAGGGTAAAGAGCAAAAGATTCTGAAAACGTCAACTAAGACAGTACAAATTGGAGTGTACGTAAAACATTTGAGAAACTGGTTGAAGTATTTTCCTCTGTCGCAACTACATTTTGTTAGCATGGAGGAGATGAAAGTCAATCCGGCCAAGGAACTGCAAGCAGTAGAAAAGTTTCTTGACATCGAGCCTTTTATCAAGAAGGAGCACTTTTATATCAACGAAAGCAAACATTTTCCATGTGTTACTTTGCCTGACAAGAAGAAAAGCGAAAAGGCGGGGTGTTTGTCGGAGACGAAAGGAAGACCACACCCTACTGTGAGAAATGATATCCGCACTCTTTTGCAAAACTATTATCGGCCTTATAACTTGGAACTATATAAGGAAGCGCAAAGAGATTTTCACTGGCCATAGAAGTACTTTTGTATCACCAAACTCGTGGAATAGTTTAAATTTTATAGCAAGCATAGTCAGTCGATCCATACATCCGACTATTTAATATTATTATTACAGTGCCATTGGTAACCAACTGTGTATGTCTCATATGCCAAACTTTCTGCTTAAAGCTTTTATAAGCGATTGCCCTCGACTGTTTAATCACTTTCCATATGATGATCGCTTAAGAGGCCCACTCTTGTTAGTGATCTGCACCAATTGTGACCATCATTTGCGAGAGCTTCGACTGCGGTTTATTTGTACACGAACAGAAGCTCTTAAGGCTGCGAGTAAAACGATCAGAGGTGAAAAAAAACAACAACAACACAGCCATAGAACAGTTCTTGTTTTTGATGAGGAATAGTTGAAACTGTTATGTATGTTGTTAAGATGGCGGTCATTTTGGCTTGAAGACATGACAAGACATCTGAGCTTATTTATGTCAGTAGAGTTGTTCATTCCGCTTGATCGTGAAGGAGAATGAACAATGTTAGTATCCAAGACAATCTTAATACCGTAACATCATCATTAGCCAACTGTGGCCATTATGGCTAAGAGGGCGGACACCACACACGCTCGTCCGAATAATTTTTTTTGATGTAGGGTAATGATATCCATTATAATAAGATGTTTATGGACTCCACACTGATAGGTTAAGTAAAGGCTACAAATTCTTTTACAAAGGCTGACGGTAAAATGAGCAAAATTATTAGGTCAACCCGAAGTGAAAAGCGCTAAAATTCCAGCCAGCCGGAATAGCCCGTACACAGCCGTTGTTTTATTTTTCTTTTCGTTCAGTTCGACTTTAAAGAGAAAATAGAGGGTCTGTGGACAGGCTAAGCCGGAACAAATACATATCTCTGTCAACATCACTGTTGAGCTTCTAAGGCATGCTAAGAGATTAAAAGATCTCTAACTAAGATTGCCTCACAACACTGAGCAGGGGGAAACCCCACAAATGTCCAGTGCTGGCCACAAGATCCCTACTTTCCTTTTTCATCCTTAGTTCCACACTTCTCAGAGGTGTGGAAGTGTGGAAAAGTCTGACAAAGTCAGGATAATGTCACACTTTTCCCCCTGTT